ATAGGGATGCTCTAAGTCACTCAATGATATAAATAAGGGTATTTTATATATAAAGAAGAACAATATGGCACATATTAAAAAAACTAGCAACAACAAATGTTGGCGAGGATGTGGAGAAAAAGGAACTCTTGTGCACTGTTGGTGGGAGTGCAAACTGGTCCAACCACTATGGAGAGCTGTGTGGAGATTTCTGGACCTACTAAACATAGAGCTTCCATATGATCCAGCAATTCCTCTCCTGGGTATTTACCCAAAGGACACAGAAACATCAATTCCAAAGAGCACCTGCACTCCTATGTTTATAGCAGCACTGTTTACAATAGCTAAGCTTTGGAAACAACCCAAATGCCCAAAAATAGATGACTGGATCAAGAAGATGTGGTACATATATACCATGGAATATTACTCAGCATTCAAAAAAGATAAACACATGCAATTTGCAGCAACATGGATGGCACTGGAAGGGATCATGCTCAGTGAAATAAGCCAAAAAGAAAAAGAAAAATACCAGATGGTCTCACTCATAGCAGGAATCTAGAAAACTTAAATAAGGGACCAGGAAAATGAATATAAGAAAGTGAAAATCAAAATCAACAAAAAACTATGAACCAGAGACACTTTTTGGGGGGCGGGGGGGAAAGGATTGGGGTCAGAATTGGGTGTTTGCAATTGTATGGGGGAATATAAAAATAAAATTTAATATTTAAAAAAAAAAAAAAAGAAGAACAAGAAATTATAATAGACAAAAAAAAACAACAATAGACAGAAATAAATAGACAACAACAGACAGAAATAAAACAATATTTACTGTGAAAAATAACACATTAGAAATATCATAATCCTTCTATCAGGCTTACGTAGGCAACAGTGGAGGCCAAAGATAATGGAGTAGTAAGTATCTTTAAAGTACTGGAAGAAAATAACTATCAACCTGCAGTTACTACCTAAAAGTGAGGTGAAAATTAAGTCATTTGCAAACATAAAGGACCGAAAAACAAAATAAAACAAAACAAAAAAAAAACCAACAACCCACCTATCAGATCCTAATAAGAGAATTACATTTTTTTTTTAAAAAAATTTATGTATGTATACAAGAACTGGGGCGCATGCCAGGCAGGGGTGAGAGGATTCACCAGAGACAGAGTGGGGAGCAGAACAAGTGGACCCACTGAAATACACTGCTGAGGGGAGCAGCGGGAGAGACAGGAGAGGTCTGCTGGCCATGTGGGTCACCTCCCTGGCTGGGGATGGAACTCAGGCTGCAGTGGCTGCGGACAACTTCATAGTTGTGTAGTAACCCCTTGCACCACCAGGGAGGCCCACCAATATGAGAACTATTAAAGATATACTTAAGCAAAAAAAAAAAAAAAAAAAAGGGGGGGGGAGGGAAGGATGTGAAAAATAGTACATAAATTGATCAAATATTTGAATACATTTAATTGTATATTGATGGTGAGCAACAGTTTTGTGCTATTTTTATAGGGAAAAGTGAAACTCCACACAAACATAACAATATGAAACTAGAAAAGATGCTCAAGAATTAATTAAAAGGTACTGAGTTCCTTATTTCCATTGAGAAGTTAAAAAAAAAAAAAACCCTTTTGAATTTGTAGGAAATGTGAATAATTATGCATGCTAAAATTTCAAAATTAGAAATAAATAATAAAAAAACAAACTCTTCCAGAGAGAGAGAAGGGGGAATAGGAGAATATAAAATCTTTATCAACAAAAAAAGACAGACAGAAATAGGAAGAAATGCAAAGAGAGATAGCAAATATGCAATAAAATAAGAGAGTAAAACTCAATCCGAAGGATATTAGTATTCACAAGACAGGAAACAGATAATATTTAGAGATTCTTTCAGCCAGGACAACAACTGAAACCTAGTACAATGCTTCTTGCAAAAGAAGTATTTAAACAAAACCACATATCTGCATTATTCATAGTAGTCAAGATAAAGAAACAACTTAACTATACGTCAGCAGATAACTGGATAAAGGAGATGTGATAGTGTAATATATAGTTATGAGAAAGAAGAAAATCCTGCCATTTGCAGAAAACATGGATGAAACCTGAGGGCATTATGCTAAGTGAAGTAAGCCAGACAGAAAGATAAATACTGCATGGTACCACTCACATGCAGCATCTTAAAAAGTCAAATTCATCAAAGCAGAGAGTGTGGTTGCCAAGGTTGAGGAGTGGTGCTAGGGGTGTGGTATAGGGAGAGGTTGGTAAATTGGTGCAAACCTTTAGCTAAAGGTCAATAAGATCTGCATGGTAAATATAGTTGATAACACTGCCTTGCAAAGTAAAAGTTGGTAGAGAGTAGAACTTATGTTTTCTCACAAATATACAAGTGCATATAGGCAAACAGAAGTGAGATGATGGATATGTTAATTGGTTTGATAGGGAAATCTTTTCACAACGTACATGGGTATCAAATCACCATGATGAGTATGTTAAATATCTTGCAATTTTGTCATTTATAACCCCAGTGAGTCTGAAAAATAAATGAAAACAATACCACATAGAGAATTTGAAAATAAAAGGATCAAAGAAGTGTATCATCCAAATAGTTCCACAAGAAAGGAAACAGAAGCAAAAACATGAATTGAGACCAAGTGGGATACATTACATTAAAATAAAAGGCACAGTTCTCCAGGATGAGCTTGCATAGTCCAGAATATTGCTATGAACTGCATAAAGCAAAACACCCACAAGCATTATATATAGTTACAGACAAAAGCACAATTGTAGAAGAAGGTTTCAATGATTTATCAACTAAAGAATATGGGACCCAGAACCAGAAGGCTTGCAAGGATAGTTTTACCTTCGCCACTAAGTATATTTATGACCTTCCCCAGATTTCAGCCTATTTGAGTCTATTTCCTCCTAAGAGTTTTGGATGGGACTTGAAACAACTTTTTCAATAAGAAACAATTATGAATGTTTAAAACCCATGTGCTTGCCCTCCTCAGACCTACTACATCAGTGTCCCAGGTTGGGGTATGGCCAGCATGAAGCCTCCCACAGTGATTTCACCGTTCAGAGGGGAGCTAGGCAATGGATCCAATTGTACAAACAAATTTACCCTATTTTAAAGTTTCCACTCTTGAGTTGTGGGCATGTCTGATGATTTCCAAGTTATTTTTTGGTTAAGGATCATTCTGGAGGGCCTCCCTGGTGGCGCAGCGGTTGAGTGCTGGGTTGTGAAGCTGCCCGCAGCTTCTGCAGTGCCGGTTCAATCCCCAGCTGCAGGGCGAGGGTCCCACATGGCGTGCAGACCTCTCCTGCCATGCCTTCTGCTCCCCACAGCAGTGTACCTCATCAGTCTGTCTGTTCTGCTCCCTGCTCTGGCTCTGGTGAATTCTCTCACCCTCCCACGCTTCTGACTGTACCCAGTGCTTGTATAAATAAATAAAAAAATAAATCTTTTTTTTTTTTTTAAAGTATCATTCTGGAAGCAGAAGCCTCCTTGCTAATGCTCCTATCTCAAAAGGCAAGAAGTCACACACATCAGAGGCCTAAATGATGTCCAGTTAGGAGTATAGTTGCTTGTATCAAATTGGGTTCCAATCTCAACTCCTGGCCTTGGAAGCAATGTAATACTGAAGAGTTACTCACCTTCCCTGCACCTTAGTTTTCCTTTCTGTAAAACAAGACATGGACAGAAGGTAACCTAAGGGACTGTTACGAGAATCATATGAATCAATATATGCAAAGTGCTTAGAAAGTGTTAGAAAATAGTAAGTGCTCCATAAATGCCATTCACAATTATCTTTATACTTACAGACTCAGAAGAATTTATGGGGATAGGAGGAGAATAACAAGAGTGGGGTGTGATATTCTGTCTGCCCTAATGGCTATAGATGTGGGAGCTAGCTGGATCTTTTCAGACTTTGGAGCCAGATGTGGGAGAAAATTTGCAGAAGTACTACAAACTATAATCTTTGCTGCTGCTATCTCAGAAAGATTTAATAAAGCAGCACATTTTACATCCACCCAGGCTGACAAACCGTGGTAGGGAAATTCCAGTCAACTAGGTAACACCCAAATTGCCCAAATGTTTGCTTTTTAAAAGCCTGATTTTTTGAAAAGCTTCTAGTTAGGAAGTCATTCCAAAGGTAGAACAAGGACATCATTTATGTGATTTCTTTGCTTACTGTAGTGATTCTCAATATTTAACAATTTTTGCAACTTACTGATTATTTTTGCATTTCCTTAACTTCTGAGTTCATGACCTCACCCTAACACTAACTAACCATTTCTAATCGTGTGTTCTAAAAATTACGTGAGTCAAATGTTATTCTCTCTTTTTTTTTTTTAAATCAGAGAATCTCTCAATGCACCTCATGATATATAATGCAGCATTTCAGTGGAGTTTGGGGCAAGGCTTAATGTAAAAATTCAGTTAACTCTGGTAATTGAATGAATGCTCTCTAAGTCTTGTTTCTCAGGATTCTCTGAAAATTGACAGCAACTCTAAAGAAAAGGTACAAAATATCATCAGACTGTTTGCTCTCAAAGCAGGCCCCCAGGCACTGTCCTTGTTTCCACACTCAAGTCATTTCCTTATGTGTAAGAGTTTACCTAGCAGGACAGGGATAAGTCATCGAGTGGGAGACCCAACTCAGATCTTACTACTGAGGGAAAATATTTCCTAATTGTTTATTTGATGTTTGTGTAGACCAAGCGCCTTGTAATATTTTTAAAGGGTGGAAGTTGAAATCTCAAATAAAACATAGAATAGATAACTAAGGAATATTTACAGAGTGACCAAATGGTGAATTTTCATTATTGACTAATGAATTTCATTGATATCAAATGGTTGAGTCTCAATCCTGATAAAAGTGTTTGCCAGGGTGTGTCAGAGATAGGAACATGGCCTTTTCCAAACTGATCATTCTGGTAAGCGATTTCTGCATCTTGAAGCTAGTATAAAGGTAGCAGCTATACCAGACAGCCTCACTTGCTCCAGCACCTATTTCCCTTCAGGCAAAATGAAAATCCTTGTGAGTATTTGTCTATGTTTCTCTATATTCTGTGATGACTGCTTTCAAAGAATATTCATATCCAATTTGCCTTGGATTTCAGGGATCTTAGAAAGACTGTACATGCTTCTAAACTTCTCTGACTGAATTAATGCTGTCTTTAGCAGGAATAGTGTTGAACACTAAGTTGAATATGTATTTGTCCCTTGTCTGTTTTTTGAGATGTTTATGAAAAAAAATACAAAGAAAAATTTTGGAAATATGGAATATTTAAAAATAATAATTCCTTTTAATGAGCTTTGGAGGAAAAGTAGGCATTTTAGGACAATTGCATTTACTATCTAAAATAAAAGTGGTAACTTAAAAACAACAATATTAATGGTTATAATAATAATAACAATAGCAGCTGTCATTTCCCAAGTGCATACTAGGTTCTATACTGAACATTTCACTGAGTAATCATATCGATTCACATTAATAGCTCTGCAACCTGAATAGTATTACTCCATTCTACAGATGAATAGTATGAAGCATGGGAGCATTGTGATTTTCCCAAGCCATCAAATGTGGGGTATCCTCTTACACAAACAATTATAGTAAAATTTAAGAATGACCAAACTTTCAACTTTTATTACTGACTAAGGAACTTCATTAATACCAGCTTGGGTTTCAATCTTGATAAAAGAATTTGCAAGTGTCATAGATAATGGACATGAGCTTTTCCAAAGTGATCATTCTGGAAAAATATTGCTGTTTATCCAAAATACAATGTCAATCTCCAAAGTTAATTATGCCCAGAGAATAATATTTTCAAAGATTCCCTTTGAAATCCATTGTGTCTATTGTCCATGAATCCAATTTAAATCTGTTTAAATCTCTTGATCTCAAGGAATTTTTATATATTTATTAGAGGACACAACTTGACACCTATAGTGCTGTAACCCAAAGTCGGTGTGAACCACACCCTGGTAAACCAATAGTAAAAAGACTCTTTACCCCTTGATCATCTGGCCCAAATTTCAATATGTATAAAATACTATATGTATGTATAAAGTATGTATAAGATAGTATGTATAAGATATGTATAAGATGTATAAGATATGTATATGATATGTATATACATATATGTATAAGATATGTATAAGCACATACTATCTAGAAGGTTATGATGTTACAAAGGATTGCAAATAAGTTTGCAAAGGTAGAATTTTGTGTCTGAAAAATAGCATGGCCTAAATAAATGCCAATCAAATGAGTGAATGTGTATGTTTTCTGTTCTGAAAATAACTATCCATGACCACCCACCAACATGTCAAGTGTACATTTTCTGAGATATTTGTCCAGTGTGCACTCATGTATTTACCCTCAATGACTATCCACTGGGGATGGAAGTGACGGGTCTGTTTTTCAGGTGGCATTTCTGGTGATGCTGGGCATCTTTGGGACACAATCTCATGGATTTGATGTGAGTTGATTTATTATGTACTATATCTTAGAGATATTGGGAGAGGAAAAGGAAGAGACAAGATAATTTTGAAGGACAGTAGAAAGTCTATATGATCTTTTTTGGGATAGAATCCCAAAAATAACCAATAATGGAAACAATGAGGTTGGCTATTACTTTCCAACTGCAATAACTTAAAAAATATAACCTATTGATTAAAAATGAGGTCATTCACATCTTTCCTGTGATGTCACTACTTCTCCCAAATATGGTATAGTAAACCATAGGAAAGAGATTTGCATTCTTATTTTAGCGTGGACTTTTGGTCTGGATTCAAAGTAGGGCTTTCAACTTTCTCTTGTTCATAGCAGGTGGAAGATTTTATTTTGATGGGAGGGTTGGTTTCAAATGCATATGATTTATGGAAACACCTTATTTCTTTACTGTCAATCTAGGTCTATAACCTCATCAGCCCAGCCAAAAACGGGGGCAATGTCCAAGAGACAGTGACAATTGACAACGAAAAAAATACCGCCATCATTAACATCCACGCAGGCTCGTGCTCTTCTACAACAATTTTTGACTATAAACACGTAAGCACCAAGAGAATTTTTTTTTCAAGCCTAGTTTTCTCAGCAGCCATTTGGCATCTTTTGAATTCTGAGATTTCTCTGCAATCTGTCAGAATCTCCTGAGTTCTGTTTTTTTCCCCTTTCATTAATCTAGCCATTCATCAGAAAAGAGAGTTATGTCTAAGAAAAGGTCATTTAAAAGTCTAAATAGGAAACATAAAAGTTTGCTTGACCTTTTCAGATGGCAATTAGAATCATGCTATTGTCTCATCAAGGCCCAGAAGGTGCCAATAAGTACAACAACAAAGTAATATCTGGCAGTCTCCCCAAAAATATTTTTCAAAGGAATAAATAAATGAATCAGGGTTTCAAATGCAAAAAATATGTGTAATAAAAGAGCAATCATGAAACAATTACAAAATAGCAGAAATCCTGAAAATTCTATCCGTTTAACTATGTGTGTACAACAGGCCATACATCATATTTCTGTAAAAAAGGAAGTATGTTAGATGAAAACACCAACTATTTCCAAGTTTACTTATTGTTTAGTTATTGACTTAACAATGTCTCAGAAACTTGCTCAGAGACTGTATCCTTTATCCCTTTATTCATTTGTCCATTTGTTTCAATGGCAATAATTATGACACTGCCCTTGCCTAGACACAGAACTATGTACTTGGGTATAAGTAATCATCCATCTCACTAGACATCTGAACATGCTTTTCTCCTCCTTTTCTCATAGAAACCTCCTCATGTGCCCCTCCCTGGTAGTACTGGGAGTTCAATAACACATTTGAAAGTATAAAGTCTTTGAAAGATGTGAAAGTTTAAAAGGAAGTTTTAAAATTCTTTTTAAAAGAATTTTAAAATACTAAAATTTTTAAATACTAAAATTCTTTTTCAGCAAATGTCAAGGAAATTCCCAAAATATCTTTAAAAATCAGTGTGGTGAGGATTTGGTGTAAACTTCTTCCATTATCATCAGGCTTGGCTTAGTCTATTTTTGAATTTTAGGAAGTGGTAATTTATGGGAACTGAAAAATAGGAACTAGAGAATTTCTATTATATACAACCGCTAAGTACTAATTATCTGGAATACTGTAAAGAAAATTCCACTCTGCATGAAGATTAGATGGCCTTGGCTTCCTCTTATTCCAATGTCCTCACCTTCCATTCCTCTTCTAATTCCCATTCCTCCAACCCATCCCCAACCAGCCAGCTTGGTTTTGAGATGAATAAAGGATGGAGAGAAGATTGTGGCAAAGGTGACAATAGATGAAATATGTATGGGTAGGTGTGAGACTTGGTTTGGGTATATTTATGAGAGTTTCTGAAGCAGCACTACCCAGTAGAATTTGCATTGGGGGAAATGTGTATCTGCTTTTTTTTTTTTTAAAGATATATGTCTTTACTCTGCATAAGAACTGGGGTACAGGCCAGATGCGTGGGAGGGTAAGAGGATTCACCAGAAGCAGAGTGGGGAGCAGAACAGGCAGACTGATGAAATACACTGCTGAGGGGAGCAGCGGGTGAGACAGGAGAGGTCTGCCTCACCATGTGGGACCCTCTCTGGCTGGGATGGAACAGGCACTGCAGAGGCTGCAGACTGCTTCACAGCATGGTGCTCAACTGCCTGTACCACCAGGGGAGGCCCTGTATCTGCTTTTTCCAGTAAGGAAGTTAACAGTAATTTGTAGCCACTGGGCACTTGAAATGTATGATGGAGGAAGTAAGTACATTTACAATTTTAGTTAATGTGAATTTAAATTTAAATGTTGCCTAGTACCTAATATGTTAGGAAAGCAGCATTCTAAAGAATATTTTATTTATTCCAAATTGAAGAAGAGGCAGAACAAAATTGATAGAAAAAAAAAACAGAGAGCTGTTTCTTTTTTTTTTTTTTAATCTTATTTATTTATTTATTTATTTTTATAGAGGCATGTTTTATTTATTTATTTACTTGTTTGTTTTGTTTTGTTTATACATGCACTGGGTACAGTCAGAAGCGCGGGAGGGTGAGAGAATTCACCAGAGCCAGAGCGGGGAGCAGAGCAGGCAGAAGGACCGAAGTACACTGCTGAGGGGAGCAGCGGGCGGCAGGAGAGGTCTGCGCGCCATGTGGGACCCTCCTCTGGTGGCCTGGGAGCAGCCGGGGATCGAACCGGCGCTGCAGAGGCTGCGGGCAGCTTCGCAACCCAGCGCTCAACCGCTGCGCCACCGGGGAGGCCCGAGAGCTGTTTCTTCTCAATATTTCAAACACAAAACTGTAAACCCTGGTCTCATAACATAAACAATGGGCTATAAAACATGGATTTGCATAATTCCAAAGAGAGAGAAGTTACAAGGGAAAAAGTAAGCATACTATGTAAAAGAACTTGATTGGAGAGAATTGATTGCAGATTGAAAAGCCATCACAACCACTCACTCCAGACTTTCTTCTACTGCTCAGATGTTGTTGTCCTCAGTGAGTTAGGAACCCAGGGCCTGGGTGGGGCAGTAATGGTGCTCTTGCTGCTTCAGGGCTACATTGCATCCAGAGTGCTCTCCCGAAGAGCCTGCTACATCATGAAGATGGACCATAAAGCCATCCCTGCTCTGGACCAACTCAAACGTTACATCTACGAGAGGCAGGTAATCCTGGAATACCCTCAAATATTTTCTTCTCTTGAGCCAAGGAATACTGGAGACATAGAGGAGTGAAGAGGGTGAGGGAGATCATAATATTATAACTTAGCCTTGGCTATGGTGTTCTCAACTTCATTTTTATTGTTTTTGCGTGTGGGAATACTTCTTTTAGCTTCATTTCTGCCAAGTAGTCCCCAATATAAGAATTTATAATAAATTCCCATGTCTTTTTTGAATAGGCTGAATGTCCCTTTTTCTCAGAGCAGAACTTTAAAAATTAATGATTGGCAGAAAAATGAGTGAAGTTATAATACTCAACACAAAGGTGTAATGAGAATAACAAACACTGCATGAAGTTAGGGACCTGGGATTGAATTATTCTTCCATAATTTCCCATCTGTGCCACTTTTACATGGGACTCACCCTCTCTGGGTTTCATTGTCACCAGACAGACATCCTGAGATCCCTGACTGCCATCTGTTTAATAATATGAAAAAGAAAAGCAGCTACAATTTAAAACATTATGTATACATACTATTTCATGTCAACAAAATAAGAACTAGAGGGTTTCTATTATATTAGGCCCACCATATTATATCTATGATTTTTAAACCTCTCCCACTCTGTAATATTGTATATCTGATCTAGGCTCTGAACAACATGGCCTCCAGCAAATACACCTGGGTCAAGTACAACCCCTTTGAGTCTCTGATCACACATGCTGATTGGTTCCTGTTTGGGTCACCTATTAAGCAGCTCTGCAAAGATATACCTTTGTATAAGGCGGAAGTGGTTGAAAAGCCAAAGCCACGTGAGTACCCATAAATCATTCCTTTACCAAAATTTTTTTTGAAAGCTCCTAGGTACTGGGCACTCTGGGAGGTGTTGTGTGAGATACAAATAAATGTGAAACATGACTCAATTCTGTTTCCTTTGGAAACGAGATACCTATCATGTGGAGGAATTGTGCTAAATGTTAGGGAGATATAGAAATGAAGAAAACTCTTCCCACCAAGGAACATGTAGTCTAGTGGAGAAGTTAACACAGACCGTGAACTACATGAGAGACCCCTTGGTGCCAGGGAGAAAGGATCGAATTCTCTCTTTTTTAAAAAAAAAATTAATTTTTTTACATCATTGTTCATTTTTAAACAATATTTGCTTCCCTCCACCCCCTCAGGTGTAGTCCCCATAGAGTTTCCTTCCCCAATGCACCCAGGCACCATCACCTCAGTCCCCTGTGCTCCTCCCTCCCTCCCTCTGGTCCCTCTCCTGCCTCCTCCCTTGCAGTATGTCTTTGATTTATAATTGTCTGTTTTTGCTTTGTTGTGTTTTGTACTGTTACTATTTTTTTACACTGATGTCTTATTTGGTTCCCCTATATTCCTGCTATAAATGAAACCATGCGATGTTTTTCTTTTCCTTCTGGTTTATTTCATTGAGCATAGTTCCTTCTAGCTCCATCCACGTTGCTGCAAATGGCATGAGTTTATCTTTTTTGATTGCTGAATAATATTCCATTGTGTATATATACCACATCTTCTTGATCCAGTCATTTCAGTTGTTTCCAGGTTTTACTTATTGTAAATAGTGCTGCAATAAACACAGGGGTACAGGTGGTCTTTTGGATCAATGTTTTTATGTCCCTTGGGTAGATCCCTAGTAGTGGAATTGCCAGGTGATATGATAGCTCCATTTTTAGGACTGAGGAACTTCCAGACAGCTTTCCATAATGGTTGGACCAGTTTGCACTCCCACCAGCAATGTAGGAGAGTTCCTTTTTCACCACATCCTCGTCAACATTTGTTGTTGCTTGTGTTTTTGATATGTGCCATTCTTACTGGTGTAAGGTGGTATCTCAATGTGATTTTGATTTGCATTTCCCTGATGACAAGGGATGTTGAACATTTTTTCATATGCCTGTCGGCCATTTGCATTTCCTCTTTGGAGAAATGTCTTTTAAGTTATTCTGCCCATTTCTTGACTAGATTGCTTATTTTGTTTTTGTTGAGTCATGTGTGTTCTTTGTATATCTTTGTGATCAGTCCCTTACCCATTGAATGGAGAGCAAAGATTTTTTTCCCAATCAATGGGGTATCTCTCTATTTTGGTTAATGTCTCTTTTGCTGTACAGAAGATTTTCAGTTTGATGTAATCCCAAGTGTTTGTCTTTTCTTTGACTTTCTTGGCTTTGGGTGATGAGTCTTTAAAGATGTTATTGTGATATATGTCTTATAGTGTTTTACCTATATTTTCTTCTATTTATTTTATGGATTCAGATCTTATGTCCAGTTCTCTTATCCATTTTGAGTTGATTTTTGTGCACGGTGAGAGGTAGTGGTCTAGATTCATTTTTTTGCATGTGGTGGTCCAGTTTTCCCAGCACCATTTATTGAACAAACTGTCAGTGTTCCATTGTGTGTTCTTTGCTCCTCTGCAGAGATCAGTTATCCACATAAGTGTGGTTTTATTTCTGGGCTCTCTATTAGGTTCCATTGGTCTGTGTGTCTGTTTTTGTTCCAGTACCAAACTGTTTTAATTATTATGGCTTTGTAGGATAGCTTGAAGTTTGGAAGTGTGATACCTCCTTTTTCCTTTGTTTTCATCAGTAGGGCTTTGGCTATTTGTGCTTTTTTGTGGTTCCATATGAATTTCATCAGTATTTGTTCTATTCCTTTGAAGAATGTCATTGAGATTTTTATTGGAATAGCGTTGAATCTGTATATTGATTTTGGGAGGATGGCCATTTTAATAATGTTAATTCTTCCAATCCATGACCAGGGGATGTCTTTCCATTTCTTTGTGTCTTCTTCTATTTCTTTTAACAGTGTTGTATAATTTCCTTTGTATAGGTCTTTCACCTTTTTTATTAGGTTTATTCCCAAGTATTTGATTTTTTTGTTTCAGTTATAAAAGGGATAGTTTTCTTGATTTCTTCTTCTTCAGATTGATTGTTTGTGTATAGGAAGGCTACTGATTTTTGTGTGTTGATTTTAGGATCGAATTGTCTTATTCTTTCACATGTAAGACTTTCAGGTAGGAAAGAAGTCTTTTGGGTCCTTAGGAAAGCATCTTTTGGAGATGGTAAGAAGGATGTCATTGAGTAATAATCTCGGGAAATAGAATGGTGGTTGCCAGAGTTTGCAGGGAGGCAGAAATGGGCTGATATAGGCCAAAGGGCATATAAAAGTATATGTTCTGAGAGTCTAATGTACAGCATGGTAACTACAGTTCTGAAAGCAAGTCTTCAGCATTCTCACCACCAATTTTTTTTTTAAACTTGCCTGTGCTAAATGTGTGAGGAGATGGAGGTGTTATCTTGATCTTCGTAATTATTCTGCAATGTATATATACATTAAATTGTCACCTTGTACACTTTATGTATATACAACTGTATTTGACCATTACTGCCTAGTTAAGTGAAGAAAATATTCATAGAATATAGTATAGAACTGGTCCAGGAAAGAGCAGGTGAAATGCATTGACGCATAGGGAATTAAAACCCTGGTTTATCCAAGTGACGTGTCATGAAGTCATTGCTGGCATTTTACACAGTTTCTAAACATTGCAGGGGACCCAGAATGAAAGCGAGGCTGGACCTCAGATGGTGAACACAACACAAGAAATTTTCCAGAATAGTGGAAGGTAGACAAAGAAGAAAATAATTAGCATTTATTGTGTTTCTATCACACAGAAAAAAGATTTTATTACAATAGTTTTCTTTTACTAAGGTGGTAAGTACATACAGTAAAGTCATATAAGCAAGCCATTATTCAGAATGTTGGCATCAATCTGGATCGAGCCACGTAGCACTTTTGGGTCTTCTTAAAGCTAATACGTTATCCTTTACAATACAGTATAGCAAATATCTTTGGTAATAAGAAATCATTTGTATAACCATGAGTTGAGATATTTATAGAAAGATACTGAATTGCTGAATTATAATAATATATTTCTTAATGCTCTTCCTTTGAAAAATTTTCCCCTTTTCAGATACTACCGGCGCTGGAGCCTGTGCCAAGGCAGGGCTGCTGGGCATCTTTGGAATTTCCATCTGCGCAGACATTCACGTTTAGGCATCAGCCCACTGTTTTCATCTTTTCAAAGACATACACCCTGGGTTTCCACTAAGCAGTCACATTAAATTCTTTCTCAATGTCCCAACTGATTTCAAGATTCAGCAGTAAAACATAAACACTGTATTTACAGATATCTGAGTGTTTGCTTTTCTACATATATATAAAGGAAGATATGGAAGAAAAGAAATTGCCAGAATTTCAAGTAAAGTGCAGAGAGTGTGAAGAAAAGTAGGAAAGGTGAGGAGTGGTCTGGCTTGAGTGTGGAGTCCAGATGCTGCTCTTCTTACTTGGAGTCCCAGGTCCAGTTATAGTTATTAATTGCTTTGAGGATGGCATCATTCATGCAGCAGGAAGTAGGAATTGCAGTCCTGCATGCAATTTCACTGCTGCCAGCCCATGTGTTGTACCTCACTTGAGTATGGCTTCATGAAACCCAATCCACCCACTTTTAGAAACAGATGTGTGGCTATCTGTGGTGTCCTGGCAGAATGGACAGAGGACCCTTTGCTGAAATAGTTGATTTTTTAGTTGTAGACTATAGGGGAGAAAGAAAGGAGACACCTTATACCTCCATGATGCTGATGTGACATGATATTTTCTAATTTCCCTTTTGAAGTCTCTTTGACCCAAAGATTATTCAAGAGTGTGTTTTTTTTTTACATATATTTGAGTTTTTATTTCATTGCTCTTGATTTCTAGTTTGATTACATTGTGGTTGAAAAAGATACTTGGAATAATTTCAATCTTCATAATTATTATTATTATTATTTTTTTTTTTGCCTAATGTGATCTATCCTAGAGAATGTTCTGTGCATGCTGGAGATGAATGTGTATTCTACTGCTTTGGGTGCAATGTTCTGTTGTGTCTGTTTAGTCCATTTGGTATATAGTGTTGGTGAAGTCTTCTGTTTCCTTATTGATTTTCTGGCTGGATGATCTCTCCATTTTTGAAAGTGGGGTATTGCAGTCTCCTACTATCATTGTCTTGCTATCATTTCTGCATTTAGATATGTTAATATTTGACTTTTATATTGAGGTGCACTGATGTTGGAAGTGCATGTATCTATACTTGTATCTTCCTGGTGAACTGATCCTTTTATCATAACATAATGACCTTCTTTGTCTCTTTTAACAGTTTTCGGCTTAAAGTCTATTTCATCTGCTGTTAGAATAGCTATCTCTATTATCTTTTGATTACCATTTGCAGGGAATATCTTTTTTCATCCCTTTACTTCCAACTCATGTGTGTCTTAAGTTGAAAGTAAGACTCTGGTAGATAGCATAGAGTTGGATCTTATTTTCTTATCTATTCATCCATTCATGTTTGTTGATTGGGGTATAAATTCTGGTAATTCATTGTGTACACAAACATAAACCTTCTCCAGGCCTTTGGGGTGGTGGAACACATGTGGAACAAACAAAACAAAGCATGAGGGAAGCTATGATAGCTTATCTGGCTACCAATAGTAGAGGAAGGCAATCTAGGATACAAGTATGCTGAAGGAATCTTTGCAGGAAGCATGGTGAGGTTTGTAGATGGGGTTTTTATTTCCTATGAAATTTTGTTCCTCACAATAAATAACATGTCGTATAGACTCAGCTGTTCATCTGAGGTAGAACTAAATATAATTTTTTTATTTGGAGCTCCCGGGATTGGAATACATGGGTCCAAAGAAGTACTTCATTATGCAAGTTATTTGTTTGTACAATAGACTGATTGAATTATTAGTTCACCCAAACATAATAAATTCAAATTGAAGAACTAATAAAAGTAGACTTCTAGCATATGATAATGATAAAGTAGCTTATATCAGATTAACTATACTGACATAAATGTGGAAAAAACATTTAAAAAATCTCTTGGCAGACACTGGAAGGTGACCCAGATCTGGTAGAAACTGAAGAGCATAAGATCTTTGAAAGAAATGCTTATGTATTGCCCATCATTTTTCTAATATCCTATGGCAAACAACAACAACAACAAAAACTAATTGTCTACCTACCATCCCCCTCTTACCTGCTAACAGAACGTAGGAGCTAAAAATCCCTCACTTTTAGGGAATATATTGTCCATTTTACTTTCAAGGCATTAATCTCAATTGGCCTAAATTAGTAGTTTTAAACTAGGGTATGATTTTTCTTCCCTCCTCTGGAGACATCTGGAGATGTTTAGAGACCTTATTGGTTATTACAATTGGAAGGGAAACCGTTGGCATCTAGTGGGTGGACACCAAATGTGCTGCTAAACATCCTAAATGCGGAGGCTATTTCCCAAAGGCAAAGATTTTCTGATACAAAATATCATTGGTATGAAGGCTAAGCAAGCCTGGGGAAAACCAATCCTGTTTCCTTAAGAAAATAAGGTAATGAGAGGTTTCTTAGTCTGCTCTTGGTCTATGGGTGAGCAGCGGGTAAGGAAGAGGGGAGGAAGGGAAGCGGGTGAGGGCCCCCCCCGCCCCCCCCCCGCCCCCCCCCCCCCCGCCCCAGGCAGGCATCAGAATGAGGCGAAGCAGCACATTCCCCATCAGGGTAAGTGGACACCGGTTGTCTTCTTTGTATTTGATTTTGTTTTACACTTTTAAAATATACAGACATTTTAATGAAGTACTGCATACAGTAAAGTGCACAGACTTTTCAGTGTAGCCCGAAACTGAGTTCAAGGACAGGCAGGAAGCCAGAGAATAAACAAAGGGCAGCTGCCCCCTCAGCTGGAGAGCCAGTGACTCAGACGCACTCACACAGACCTGAGGCCAGCTGGTCCTTTCCGGAGGCTGCAGAGAAAGGGGAGCACTGGGGAGAGCTGGAAGTGCTGCCATCTAGGGGAGAAAGGAGAGTGAAGAGAGCAAGACTTTCCCCCAGAGGAGAATGTGCCAATGGAGTGTCATTTTCTATATAAGGATGCCAGGGAATTTGACCTCTGTCCTGAATCTCTGGTCTCTGAGAAGGGCAAGGGTGGAGTTTCTGCAAGACTCTTAAGAGACTTCTGGGGGCGGGGACGGGTTGTGTGTCATTTAGACTTTGTATAAGGACTTCTGGGTGATTCCACTAAGTGCAAGTTTGCAGGGGATTAGGGGTGAAGCCAAGGGAGATCTTAAGCTCAGGAAAGAGGGAGCCAGGAGAAATTAACAACAACCTCCCTTCCTGGAAGGGAAGGGCTTTGGGGTATCTCTGGCCCAGATTTGTCCCCTGTACAGACCCTTTGGGCTCATGTTTCAGGGTGAAGGGAGGGGCTTGTCAGCAGAAACAACATGAGGGACAGAAAAGAAAAACCTTTTTAATATTACAGTTTCTCCAAGACACAAGGGCATAAATAGCAGCAGTGTCAACTAACACAAGTGGAGGGGAAGCACATTCCATTTCTGTGTTGATTCCAGAGGGTCCTGTTCCTCTGGTCCCCTGGGGGCTCTCCAGTCAGTGTTGAAGTGGGCAGCTTCGCCCAGGCCATGTGTTCAGTGATGGAGTCTTCTCAGTCAAAGTTTCTGAGGGCTGTGGGTTCCCAGGCCCCTTCTTTTAGCTCTAACATAGGAGGTGTCAGGGGAAGTCAATGACAGCAGCTGCCCCAAGAGAGAGAGGAAAAACAAAAAGGAAAATAGAAGATTTCCCTACTTGGAAGATCACTAATCTAATTCAAAGCCAGTTCTTAACCAGAGAGGCTAAAAAATGATTGCAATGATCTAAGAACTGAGTTCTTCAATCACAAGTGAGCACACAGTCTGTTTTTAGTGCCAGTGGCTGGTTACCTTGACAAACAGGAATATGTTTTGTTGAGGATCCAAGAGCACTGGTTTCAGACTCAAATATGATAAATTTCATTGAATACTGGAATAGATGAAGTCAGTAAGAAGGTGCTATAGACTGAATATGTCTCCTTACATCAAGTTCATATGCTGCAATCTAATCCCTAATATGATAGATTTAGTGCCCTAGAGGGCGCTCTTGTCCCTTCCAGCATATGAGGATCCAGTAGAAGATTTTGAGAGTTCTTATGAGACACTGAATCTGCCAGTGCCCTGATCTTGGACTTCCCAGACAAAATATGAGGGGCTTCCCTAGTGGCGCAGGGGTTAAAGCCTCAGCACTATCATGCTACTGCCAGCCCAGCCAGGGAGCTAAACCATATGAATCAGCAGACCTCTCCTGTCTCACCTGCTGCCCCCCTGCCTCAACAGTGTATTTCAGTCAATCCGCCTGTTCTGTTCCCCACTCTGTCTCTGGTGAGTCCTCACCCCCCTGAGCCTCTGGCCTATACCCCAGTTCTTGTATGCATAAACAATTTTTTTAATCTAAAAAATAAATAATCATTTAAAAAATCGTTATTTATAAGCTATTCCAGTCAATGTCATTTGTGAATTTTGTACTCCGAAGCCCTATTCCTAAAAGGATCTAAGTCCTGGTGCATGCAGTTTGATTGAGCCCACAGGACCAAATTCTACCCTGACAAGCCCTGGAAGACTGAGAGGACTGTGCTGGCTGTGTCTCAGGCCAGAGCTACCACAGTGCAGTTGATGACAGCCTTGTGTGACATTCATGATGGGTCAACAGGCCCTGAACCTAGAGTCTCTGACAAGAAACTAGTCTAGCTGGCAGAGTATCTGCAGAGATGGTACCAAATAGAAGCACACCCAGTGGGTACATGGCAGTGTGTGTGGGGGGAGGAAGGGGTTGTTCTTGAGGGTTCCTGTAAGTAAAAAGACTGTTCTTATAGCTGCATGGAGGCTGGAGGTGATGGGCAATTTCATGAGCAGCCGAAGCTCAGAAGGCCAGGAGGTGGGGAGGGGGGCCAGAGATTGGCATCAGAGAAGTCAGTAGGCAGCAGCACCCACACCATTACAGAGGGCTTGGAAGTGGGGGCCCCGGAAACTGTCACAGGGATTTAGGCACCTGGGAAAGACAGGGTTTGGTTTCCAGAGCTGTGACAAAGGTGGAGGCTGGGTGTCAGGGGCAAGGCAGATATAGGTCCCGGACAGACTGACAGCCATGGTAGCTTCACTCTGGGGACTCAGCGTGCCAGGCTCTGGGGCCCAGGCCCCATTTCATGGTCCTCTCAGGGACTCTGGCAGACCATGCCTTGATCTGTCACATCTGATGCTGCAATCCTGGGTGTGCTATGCACAAATGATTTATGCTCCTGGTATCTCCTCAACAAGCTGCTTGGGCCCCAGTCCATGGACTCAGAGCATCTGGCCTGCCCTACCAACACCCTACTGAAGCTCAGTTACAGGCCTATCATGGGCCTTTCCTATACAGTCACCTTTCATTCATGTTTATAGTTAGCTGCACCATATCATTCCAGCCAGAAAAGCTACACCATCAGCAGAGCTTGTGCTTGAGCTTGTCAGCCAGGACCCTCAGACTTGATTCCATGCACATGTACTATTCAACCTACCCCAGCTTCCTCCCACCCTTGCCCCAGCCCTACCCTCTTTTAGTGTTTCAGCCTCTAACACCTGCTTTGGTGTTGGAGGGGGTGTATCTACTGTACTCCTTCCTCATTTGTTCTTGTTTCTAAGGTAAGAGGAGCCAGGGATGTTCTTTGTGGTGTGGATTGGGTTGACTCTGTCTTTTCCAGCTCTAGGGATGGACAGTTAAAGAACTAATGCTAAGAGGCCAGGTCCCTACTTTATTTGTAACAGAAAGAAATGGCTAAAAGCTAGCATGAAGGTGTTTAGACAAGTTCCTAAGAGAGGTCTGGCAGGGCTGATTTCACAGGAATTTTCATGGTGCAGCTTGGGCAGCCTTGGTAAAACTGGATTCCATAGAATCTCAGAATGAATCGGCAAGAGATGTGATGAGACCACAGGCCTGATAGTGTAAGTCTATACATGGCTAATAAGTTTTCGTTATCTATAAAATCCCCTGAGAGATTTTTCAAAGACAGACCTGCAGAAATGAAATGTTCTAGGAGAGTCTCCCTTTTTTTCCCTCTCCTGGGTGTGCTCTGGAGTGCACGTGATACAGGTGCCTATGACCTGAGTGAGGACAATGCAGGCAGGGAGGGCTCATCTGCTAGAACAGTGAGGCAAGAAAATTTATTGTTCTAACCCAAAGGGAGAAAGTATACCCAATTTTTCCAGATTAAAAAGCTGGATCTTGTGTTGAAAGGAAGAAGGTACAGGACTGAAAGGAACAGCTTCCCATCAGCAGAGGGGTGCTGGTTTCAGGCCAGCAGTCCCATCCAGGTGGGTTCACTCTCTCTGTGGTTGACCTGGAGTTTCAGAACCCAGGGATCTCACCACAGATGGAGAGTCCCATGAAGGACAAAAGTTGGATTTCAAAGCAGGAATCAGGGTCAATTGCCAGTGCAGTACCTTTAAAAGGGAGAGAAACATTTTACAAAAAAAAAGATCATTAATCACTCTAAGGTGATATGTAATGAGTTGCACCTAGATTGAATGTGAGGCTCGAGAAGCTCTATTACAAGAGACTGTGAGACTAAAATGGAACATATGTGTTGCAATAATTAGCCTCACACCCTCCTTTTTTATTTCTTTTACTGACCTTCAACCATCATTCTTAACTCCCCAACCCCTCATGTTCTCCCTTTCCCCCTGCTGGATTCTCCCATTGTAAAGAAAACCTTGGGTTTGTTGGGTTAAATTATACTAAAATGTAAGTGACTGGCTGCAGTTTAATGGGAAGAGATTACTGACTTTATCTGGAATAGCAGGGAAAATTTGAAGTCTTACTTGGAAATGTTCTAAGCTGGTCACCACTGATTCTTTCTCTCCATCCCATGCACCTCCCAGGACTCCAGCAGGGTTACCAGTCACTGACATCTCCCATTTGTGTGTTGTTTGTAGCTATCAGGGTACTGCCTTCTAATATTTGGGCAGCTTGAGAAAGAAGAGCAGTGAAGACCCCAAAGCAATGGGGCTCTGTGGGTAGGGTGCCAGGTGCTGTGCTTCTTAGGCAGAGGGTAATGAAGGTTTGGGTTAAGAGGTTTGGGTTAAGAGGGGGCATCCACCAATTGTCAAGTTCCACTGATGAGATGACTGTCCTGGACCTTCTGGAAAAGCTAAATGAACTCTGCACCTCTGATTTTAATGAATCTTGGGGTCAGAAAATCATCTCTGCCACCAGCAGGGAATGTATCCTGGCCTCTGTTTTTATATCCACTAGCAAAGAAATAAAATAGAACTTAAAACTGTCATTAGAATCTGCCAATAAACTAAAAATCATGCCCTATCTTTTGGCTCACCCAGGGCCTTGGGTTTCTAATTAAGTTGTTAATATACCTTCTTTTTGCTGGTGGGCAAAGTAAGTAGGAAACTCATGGCACATGTCCTTGACAGGTATTCCATACTGAGCTAAGTCCTTGACTCGGCTGGGTAAGACGTTGTAGGTCAGGCCTTGAGTGGATGGATAATGCTTTAAATCCTGCAAGAGGTGACATTTGCAGTGAGAGAGCTTATAAGCTTATAGAGGAGATACAACAAGGAGAAAGAATCAAGAAATGTACCAGGACACCCATGCTCCAGATTGGTTGTGACAGTGCCTGTGGGCCATTCAATTTACATAAATAGCTAGAATACAAACCTGCCCTTGAGTTTTGTCTACCAACAATATCCTATCTGGCCACAAGGTGACGACATTACTCCAAAAAAATTCTGTGTGGGTCTTTGTGTTCTGGCGACTCAGTGTATATTCTTTTCATCTTTTTTTTTTTTTTTGAAACTTTTTTATTTTCTTACACCTCTGCTCATTTTTGTGCAATATTTTATTTCTCCCTTTTCACCCTTCTTAATTTCTCAACAGTTCTAATCTCCAGTGCTTTCTTTGACTCTAATGATAGCAGAGAATAGTTCTAAAATTGTTGCTTGAATGTTATGATTTTATGTGTTACAAATCACATGATTAGAATACTTTCTATCTCTCATGGGGAAAAATCATAAATTGCTTTATTTTTCTATCACTGGAAGTGTATTTTTTCCCTAAGGGTAAATAACCCACCTGCCCTGGATCCAATGTCTCCTAGCGTGCTGGGCAGGTAACTTAAGTAAAACAGTAGCAGATTTCAATTATTTTCCAAGGACTTCTAGACAATTTTTGATTCAACTATCCTCATCTTTTAAGATACTGAGAGGAAGAAAGCTTCACTAGTCCTGAGATTATTTACAACTATAGAAAGAAAATAAGAGTCTGTGTTTGGGGTTTTTCAGGGGAGGAGAAAGGCCTTGAAAATGCAAATACTCAATTAGTGCCTCCTAATATTTATATTCAATGATTTAATCCACTAATATGTAGTTCAGACCCATTCAGGGACAGCTCTCCTGCCCACCTGTGACTATGCAGGTGCCTTGTTTTTTTTCTCCTTTGCCTAATAAACCTGTCTTTTTAAAAAACTAAAAAATAAAACAAATCACATTAAGAACACATAAAAATTATGTCATTGTGTGGAATATTCTTTGATCCAATTATGATTTGCCTTCATTGGGCCACTGACTAGACTCAGGGTTCTTTGCTTGATGGTGGTATTTCACGGGCATTAAGAACAAACATGAAGTTTCCCTGTGTGAACAGCATTGGTTTAGAAGGTCAGGATGCAGAGCTGGAAATACCAATCTAGGAGGGCATCATAGTTGAACTGATCTCACTTACCTTCTGGCCCAGAGCCTTGCTAATGTCATCCAAAGTTGGGAAGGCAGTCTGGTCCATCCTGACCAGGACACAGGCCATCTTGTCAAACAGTTTAGCTGCAAGGAGGCCCTTAGAGCACACAGCAGAACCATGTCATTATTCAGTCACTGTATTAGTGGACTCCTACTCCCTACTCACTACTCCTGCTTCCAAGGCAGTGCTGTTCACAGCTATGGATACTGGAAGAATCATCAGCCTGCAGACCACTTACCAACTGGTGGGATTGGAGAGGCAGGGAGTCAGCCCTGGTAATCAAGCTGACTTTAAAGTCTTGTTCTGCCACTTAGCAGTGTCATGGTCCTCAGCCACCTCCATGACCCTCAGCTTCCCTATCTGTACAACAGGAATGATAGCCCCTCTTCTCACACAGCCGTCGTAAGAACCAGAGGAGACACTTACTGCAGGGAAAGTATCAGACAAGCTACAGAGAGCACCCTGAATGTATAGAGTGATTAGAAGTCTTGGGTCAAACCTGTCAACCCAGATTCTTACCCTGGTTCTGCCCCTGATTTCCCTGTGTCTCCAGGCCAGTCATTAGCCTCCCTTAGCTTTGGATCAGAGCAACCCTGTCTGACTGAGCCCATTTCTCTCCTTCCATCAGAGTAGTTCTTTTGTTTTTTATGTTCCATATGATGGAATTTTGTGGAATATTTTGTTGGAAGAAATATCTCTATGGCTTAAAATCAAGATAGGTATCACTGGACTGCAGGCCTCTGGTAAGATTCAGGGGGAAATCAGGAGTGAGTGAGTGAGGAGTGCGGGAGAAGGTATTCAAGAACAGAGCACGAGAGGTACACTTGGGAGCAAAGAGAAAGCCTGTGTTGAGGTATTCATCCTGAGCTGTCCATTGTGGGCGCGGGAGGAGGGGTTTCCATGTAGCAGAGGCTGGGTGGCAGAGGGTCTTCTGGGCCACAGTGGGCTTTTACTTCATTTAATCCTCTCGGAGCCCTTTCAGGTTGGAAAGGCAGCTGTTGGTGCTATTTTGCAGATGAGTAAACAGGTAGACAGAGACTAGGTGATGTCTCTTGTTACAGAGCTTTTCTCTGGGGAAACTAGACCAAGGACACAGGCAGGGCTTCCCGATCCTGCATCTTTCTGCTAGGTCTCACTCCGTGATGGGCAAGTTGAGGCCAGATTTCAAAAATCATTCTTCTTTAGGAATAAATGGGTTGAAATCTGAGACCAAGACCAAATAACTACTATAGCACATATCCATTACAAGAAATGTTTCTTTAAATGGCTGTTTCCAGAGACCTGCAGGAGCCATGTAAAGTCAATACCTCCCATGAAGGCAAAGGAATGTGGGAGTCCCATAGACCAGAGAAGTTCCTCTTACAGTCACTGGCTCTAAAAGAAGTCACCGCAATTGCAGGAAAGATAGTCCCTTACCTAGAGATAGGTATTCCCATCGAGAGCCTAAACCTAGAGAAGGCAAATATAGAAAGTGGCTTCTCTCTGGAAAAGCATAAGGGTACATTTTGAAGTGGACAAGGCTGTCTTTGGCATTGTAATCAATGTGTTCCACATCTTACATTCTTGTAGTCCAAGATTCCATCCCATTCACTCAAAACATTGCTGTCTTGGATGCTGACCATACCTCGGAAGGCATTGACATGGATGCTCTGAGTCCCCACGGAGCCATCCAGAGGATGGCTGTCACTGATTTTCTGGAGAGAACCAAGCAACAGTGAGAAGAGTCCAAAGTCCAGAGTTCTCATTTTGCCCATAACTTATAGTTTGAAAGGAATACTCACAAGAAATTTGAGGGAGGTTACCTTGAATGATCACCTTTGAAATATTTCTGCTAAAAGGACTAGGCAAGGTAGATTCCCTCCACCCTCACTCACCGTTAGGGCCAGAGATGGGATTAAGAGGAAGACCAGAAGGATGGATGATGCAATCTGAAATGGAAACAAATGTCAGTGCACTCATGCTAGCTTCACTTCAGATGAGCCCAGAGCCTGGAAGGTAAGGGGCTTTCATGGGGGGAGCCTTCTTAAAATGACCTATAACTTTCACAGCCTTTTTTGCTCCTGGGACCCCATGTGCATCTGGACACTGTCATTGAATGTGGTTGATGTGGGGTATGCTGACTACTCAGGAGGCAAAGCTTTATCATTTACTCAAGGATACCTCTTGTCCCAGTGCTGTTAGTCACTGGGATATGATTAGATAACCCCCACAGCCACTTGATACACATAAGGCAGGACTTTCCTAGGCCAAATCGTAAAATAAATTGTGTTCAGGTCATTGGTCTTCCTTATCTGCACCTTCCTCTCTCCTCCTAACTCTCTGCCCACTGTGGGACCTGGTATCCTCCAGCTTTCCTTCCCTCTAGATTCTTCTATCTTGCCTAAGAAGAAAAGATCATGAACCACTTATTCATACCACATTTTGAGAGTTTACTCAAATAATATTTGTTCTTGAGATATTTTCAATGGATCATTTTCTCATGGTGTGGCCTGCCTTGCCTGTCAAGAGGATCTTAAACAACAGGGAGTAAGTGAAAGAGAATTAGGGGGGCAGAAACAGGATAAGATAGAAAATGTAACAGTAAGCCTTTCTTTATATCCTATAGTTCATTATCTGGTCAGCATACAGGCTCACCCAGGTCGTACACTTACACCATAAACTGAAATTGACAAGAAATGCCTTTCCTCTCCACTCCCACAATATCCTATGCAATATTCCACTTACAATGATACCACAAAAGTGATACATAGTTTCATAGGAGAAGAAAACAGCTATTCTAAGAATAATCATGATGCAATGAGGTTAATCAAGGAGACTCATGAGAACCTGATAGCAATACTATTTTGGTAAACTATTCTGAGAGTTGGTGTCATTTATGAAATATATCTCAAACTTTCCTTCACTGGAAAATTGTAAATAAAAAAATCCAGGAATAGAGGAAACTAAAAATAATATAGTTAAAGATTCTTGATCTTTTAAGAAATTTATTTGTTATTTCAAGAAAGACCATCATTTAGATGTTCCAAAGCAGAGGGATTTGTCAACAGAGAGAGGTTATATACCAAATTAATATTTTAAAATTCAATTTGTGCTTAATTTGAAGAGTTCATGGAAAAAAGAGAACTGTTCTCTGGCTATTTTGGCCATAAGAATATAATCAAATATATTTGAAATCAGAAAATATACTTACAAGGTGTTTCATATTGCCTCCTTCTCAGACCACATGTAACTGCGCACATAATAGAATTTTCTATATCCCATTTATTTTCTAAGTCTGGTTTATATAGTCCTGCCCCTTTCAACTATTGCCATGATAAAGGACTCCGGGGAAGTTAACCACAATCTGGATGCCATTTAACAGGAAAAAAACAGGTTTATGTAATCACAGTTATCTTTTTTTCTTTAACTACTTCTAAACATTTTCCCTCTATCTTGATAACTTCACTGGTTCCAAGGCAAACACGGCAAATGAACAAGGCTTTGTGGACTGGCATGCCCTTAACAACTAATGTAAGAATTACAAACAGTAGATTCTGCAAAATGGTCCTGATACAACATCAATGAGTTCACTGTTTCTACTTCTCAGTTCCAGAAAAGTTCTTACTAACAATGGAAGTAGCTGGGAAACTCCTTATGAAGCCATGAGAGACAGATTGGGAGTAGAAAATTAGACAGCAAAGCAATCTGGTCCAGATCTTCATCCAAACCCCAAAATCATACAGTTGGTCTCTCTCACAATGCCTTCTGCCCACTTACCAAGCTGACCTCATTTTACCTTGACATTCCTTATATGCTAATATTTTTGTTCTTATAATATGTTTTTTTCTTTCCTCCCAGATTTCATTTCGAGGTGATTTTTCCATAAAGAACCATTTGACTAACCTGAGACCAAGGACACACCTTTCTAAGGTAAGTCAAGCACTAATTCTTACCTTTTCATATATTTTTTTATGTTTTCTCAAGCCCTTGACTGGTGGTGACCAAACTACCTGGATCAAATAACAAAAGGTCAGAGCCAAACAGCACAGAAGATGAAATATATGTATGAACTGGGCACTGGAATGATCAGAGAGAGAGGATAGACAGCTCAGTCCTTACAGGCCTTAATGTAAATTGGTAACAGGGATGTGAAATAGATGGGCTTTCAAAACTATCAGGTCTCCTCCCAGGATTCAGATCATATCGTGCTCATATCTCTATTGTCTTCAGGACTTTGAAAATACCATGAACAAAGCATATATTCAATAGCTATTAATTGAATGCATAAAATTTATTCAAAGATTGACTTTCATTCTTTTACATGTGGCTGTCCAGTTTTCCCAGTACCATTTTTGAAGAGATTTTCCTTTCCCATTTATGTGCCCTAGGCCTCTTGTCAAAGATTAGTTGACTATATAGATGTTGGTTTATAATCTGTTCTCTTGATTCTGTTCCACTGTTCTATGTGTCTGTTTTTATGCCAGTACCATATTGTTTTGATTATTATAGTTGCAAATATTACTTGAAATCTGGAAGTGTGATACTTCCAGCTTTTAATTCTTTCTCAGGATTGATTTGTCATCTGGGAATCAAAGACCTAAAGGTAAAACCTGAAACTAAAACTTATCAAGAAAACGGGGGAAAAAAATTCCTTGACAAATTGGTCTTGGTAATGATTTCTGGAATAAAATAATACAAGCACAGCATAGTAGCCAAAATAAACAAGTGCTACTAGAGAGTTTCTACATAGCAAAAGAGACAATCCACAAATTGAAAAGGCAACTTTCAGAATGAACGAAAATATTCACAAATATCTGATCAAGAGTTAACAGTCAAAAATATAAAGAATTCATGCAATTCAATAACAAAAAAGCAAATAATCTGATTTAAAAAAAAGGCAAAGAAACTGAATAGACTTTTTCCTAAGGACTATAAACTATTGATCAATAAGTATATGAAAAGGTGCTCAACATCATTAATTATCAGGGAAATAAAAATCAAACCCCAATGAGACAGCATTTCACACCCTTTAGGGTGTCAATTAGGGTTTCTAATTGCAGACCTAGCTAAAGAAGAAGTAGATCTCAGGTATGAGTGCAAACAAAATGGTGTCAGGAGTGGACAAGAGATGTGAAAATCAGGTCCCAAGGAATCAAAAAGTCGGGAAGTGAACTCACTCACTTCCCAAGTCTCTACTTTCTCCATTCCTGTAGGAATAGTCAATATATTCAAACCGTGCAGTCTCATTAAGGAACTACCTTTGGCCACGAGAAAGCGTGGAAAGCATGTCTTTTATTTACTTATTTATTCTTCTCTAGCATATTCTCTTCTGTCTTCCAGAAGCCATCCTAAAAACTCTTATAGCTCTACTACTTCACTTTTCAAAAGTTACCTGACAACTTTCATGATTTCTCCCACTAACCTTGCACCCCTGTCTCCTGCTACTTTCCAATCTGTACCAAGATGCTAACCAAATCTGGCTCTTCACTGTTCCTCATCTGTAGCCCATGCATTCCTAGCTTTATTCCTTGCTTCTTGCCCGAAGATTCCTTAGTCTACTTCCTCGATCCACTCTCCAAGGCCAAAAATTTGAACAATGCCTCATTCCCCAACCTCCCTTCACTATCACTCAAACATGACCTCTTCTTTCAAAATATCATAGCCCCCTCCATGTACCTTACTTTGCTATTTACAATCTGCATTGTGTTAAATTTACTTATGTAATCATCTAATCAGGTCAAGAAATTGCACATTTATGTTACTAGACTGTAAATGCAATAAGGTGAAAGACTTTGTTTTGTTCTTTATTGTAGCTTTAATGTCTAATATTTACAACAGCACTTCACGCAGAGTAGGTACTCAAAAATATATAAGATAGGGCCTCCCTGGTGGTGCAGGCAGTTGAGCGCAGCGCTGTGAAGCTGTCCGCAGCCTCTGCAGGGCGGGTTTGCTCCCGGTTGGCCAGAGAGAATCCCACAGGCGAAGCCGACCTCTCCTGTCTCGATCGCTGCTCCCCTCAGCAATGTATTTCGTCAGTTTGCCTGTTCTGTTCCCCGCTGTCTCTGGTGAATCCTCTCACCCTCCCACGCATCTGGCCTGTACCCCAGCTCTTGTATAAATAAAATAAAATCTTTAAAAAAAAATATATATATATATTTCTGTATTTCCTGGAGTACTTAACAATGTCTGTTACATAGTAAAAACGTAGTAAACATTAATTGAATTTAATGGCAAATCATAGAATCAGGTATTTAATAAGAATATGAATGAGAAAGATAATTAGAATCTGAACAGAGCACATACAAGGAAAAGTGGTCTTTTAAATAGACATTGATTATATAGCTGTTAGGTTAGCAGAGAGACATCATTAGTATATTTGCCCTTGGATTTGAGAGTAGGGGCTATAGAACAAGGGAAATGAAAGCCAGGTATCTGTAGAGTTGTTTGCCTTTTATCTTGCATCCTGGTTCTTCTGGCAAGAGCAAGACTCCTTTGCCCGGATCCCTTGTCCTGCTTGGTGTTTGCTAAACACCCTTTGATTTTTCTGTAATGTACTTATCACCTGCTGTAAAGCAAAAACTTCCTCAAACTTATTTTACATTGTCTAATTATGTTCTGGAATGCACATTTCTATATTCATCTGTGTAATGGTACTGATGTTGAAATTATCTTTCCAACTTTGTCAGAACTCAATGGGCTTCACAGTCAAGCCTTACTTTTATTAATTCAGTAAAGCTTTGTTCCTGCTGTATATAGTTATATTTCTTCCCTATCCCAAAGCAGATGAAGAATAGAAATCAATCATGTTGTTTTGACCCACAAACCATCTCCCCTCTGGCATTCTTTTTTGTTTTTATTTTATTTTCTTACATCATTGTTCATTTTTGTACCATAATTGGTGTCTCCCCTAAGATGTAGCCCCCATAGTTCTCCTGCCACCTTATCACCCGTGAACCATCACCATATTCCTTTGTGTTCTTCCCTCCTTTGTTTTGACCCCTGTCCCTCCCTCTCCCTTGCTGTATGCCTCAGATCTATGGTTAGCTTGCCAGTTTTGTCTTTTTATTTTTTTGACCATTTGCTTCATTTTTCTATATTCTGCATATAAGTGATTCCACACCCAGGAATCTACCCTTCTGGCATTCTTCTTTGGTTTGGTTGATATTAGTTCCTTCCGCAAAATCTGATACATAGCATATCTGACCTTCTTCATCAGCATGCCACTTGTTTTATTTTCCTATATTCAGTTATATTATATTAAATTTATTTTTTTGGAGGCACACTATCATGCCCCCCCTTTCTCTGCCCTTATGGATGTTTCACCTCAGCCCCCTTTCCTTTGTATTCCTCTGTAGAGCCTGGAACCCAGGGTCTGGCCTCGTAGGACACTGACCGCCTTGGTCCCTCTCTGCTCCTGTTAACCTCTTGCTTTTCACCCTCAGGTTCCTTGGATGATGTCTTCGTCCTTTCTTTTGTTCTCTCTGGACCTCAAACCCAAATCATTTCTCCAAAATAAACACTTCTGAATCCGCATGCTGAGCAGGCACAGCCTTCTAGTGGACTTTATCTGGGTGCATCTTGTATCTGCCCTGAACCACTTATCTCTACTCAAACTGCCATGGCTTGATTGCCCCTGCTTTTTCCTGAAATTCATTCCAGGTAACTAGGCTGCCAGGCTCCCCAGTGTACCTATCTTGTTAGGTGCTGATATCATCCTTTACAAAGTTAGTCTTTACAAAAGAGCTTTTCTTAAAGCAAGGGTTCTTATCTAGACCTACCATTTGTAAATGCTTCTAAAAGAGTCCCCAGAAATCTCAAGTAAAACAATATTTGTGCTTGCATATGAGGTCCTCCCTTTCCCTTGGGGAGGAGAGTCATACCCCTCATCAAAATTTCAATGGAAAAATCTAAAGAAGTTTAGCAACCACTTCCTCAAAGATCCTCTATCCCCCACAGATAATACACATTTATTTTTTTTTCTTTAATTTATTTTCTAATCTCCTAGTTTTATTCCCTTGGAACACATCAGAAGGGAAGATTAGTAAGAAAGTTCATTTTAGGCAGTAAAACCATTTTGGGAGGAGAGAGTTTTGATTGTTCCATGAAAGGAGATACTGAAATTCAGAAAAAATAAGTGAATGGTTAGCCTCAAGTTCTACCACAAATCAGTGACAGAGTTGGGAGCTGTGTATAGAGGTTGCTGGTCCAGGTCCTTTCCACGTG